TTTCTAAAACATTGATTGCTCGACTCGAAGTTATGCATAGGCGTCTTTTGAAAATATTATTTCGGCTTCCTCGCCTGACTCCAAGCACAGACTTATACCGCCTTGCTTCTGCTGGGCCGCTCTCGGTCCGGGTGCGTTTTTTGGCATGCCAGACAATTCATAAAATTAAGCTGGGCATTGCTCCTCCTCATGCTCTCTCCTGCCTAAGCTGGTTTGTTCAATCTCAAGACATGCGCACCAGAAACTCTCTCCGCTTCCCTATTGCGCGGTCTGCCTCTATGCAAACATCTCCTCTCTTCCTTGCTTACCGCCATTGGTCTCTCCTCCCACAAAATCTAAAATCCTGACAATGTTACAATACATTCACACAGATACTGCAGACTGCAACATACTAGTTGATATCCAGCCCTGCCCTAGTTCCCCCACGCTTCTCTTACTTTTCAGTTCCCCTTTCATTCTTTTTCTTTCTCCCCTCTAGCTCTATTACCGCCATGGCTGGCTATCGCCCATATCACCATTTCATTGGCTAGTGCCACGTGATTGTGAATAAATAATAATAATAATAATAATAATACATAATAATTAGGGCTGAAACGATTATACCAATTACTCGGTAAGCAATCGATAATTCCTTATCAATCAAGTAATCGTTACGTTATAGATTACTCGTTAGGAATTTTGAGTCCAAAAAGCCCTCGTTTTGTGAAGTTTGAATCAGTTTACGCTGTGTGTATGCAGTTGCCAGGGGCATGGTGCATATTCTGAGGTTAAATTGACTTCAAAACTGTCATGGTTTGGAGCTACCCTGTCACTAATGCAGATTTTTGGTATTATGAAGGCCTAGCTTTTGGAAACAGGATAATGTTTGCACAAAATTCTGACGCTATTTGCTAAAGATTATAATCGATGACTCTATCGTTAAGCTAAAGAGTAATCGATAGGTGAAAATCCACGATCGTTTCAGCCCTAATAATAATCCAGGTATGTACCTGAGAAAGTTTAACGAGAGAGCTTGGAAGCTCAGGGCCCTACGCTATGCTCTTTTGCCTTGATGACCTAGACAAAAAAAGCATAGGGATGTTATAAATTCTTTAAAAAAATTCCTTTTTTTAAAGACATAACCTGGGATTCGAACCCGCACTATCGCGCGCCCTGCATGCACCCCCCGATACACTTCGCATACATACTAATTCTTCCAAGTTGCTTCACATTGTGATCTTGCATTTGAAAGCCCTATTTGAATATGCATTGTGACCAGCCGTCTTTGATGGCACTGTATGGTACAGGTAGGGGATAGGTACGGGACAGGTACGATCGAGGGTAATACGACACCGTCTCCCGTACCGTACCGTACCGTCAAACACAGCTGGCCACATACAGCTGCCCGCAATATTCAAATAGGGCTTTCAAACGCAAGATCATAACGTTAAGCAACTTGGAAGAATGGGTATGAATGCGAAGTGTATGGGGGAATGCATGTAGGGCGATAGTGCGGGTTCGAATCCCAGCATATGCCTGAAAAAATAGGAGAATTGAAAAATTTATAACATCCCTATGCTTTTTTTGCCGTCAGATTCGGATAGCGCCAGGCGTGACACAAACAAACAAACAAACAAACAAACACACAAATACCAAACGAGAGAGCTTGGAAGCTCAGGGCCCTACTCTATGCTTTGTTACTTAGCTCATCGTGCATGTTGTGGGAACTGATGGAAATGTTTCCTGGGACGGCGCTGACTCTGCCGAGCACGCGCGTTCTGGAGTCGACGGGATCTCTCTGCCGACGTTTCCTGTGACCGGCGCTGACTCGCCCGTTCACGCCTATTTTGGAGACGCCGGGATCTCTCTTCCAAAGCATGTTTTTGCTGACGCATCGTATCACCTATTCGGCAACGAACATCCATTCTAATTTCATTTCCTCCTCGTCTCCCTATTTCTTTCCAGAAAGTCTCTCTATACATCAGGGAGTCGTACTGTATTGGCAGCTACCCTAACGGGTCACGCCGCCCACCACCCAAGCATGGGTATGATGAGGGACAGTGGCAACAGAAACAAAAAACAGCAAGCAGGGAGAGAAAGCAAGAGAAAGACGGCGATAGTAGTACATCTGGTGTGCGACGTATAGAAAAGAGAGATGACAAGAGATGCGCACAAAATAGGAAACAATAATTATTTTTGCAGTTCCGAAACAATCAACCAGGTCATGGAGTGTGGGCACCCGAAGTCCCGCCTGGACTCCACTGGAAGAACATCCCACGCAGGGATATCAGCGATAGGCCAAGTGTTGAAAAACAGCCATGAGGACACATCGTCTAGAAGTCCACCGCGCTCGAACTGAAATTGCAGGTTCAAACAATTTCCCATGCGGCGTCAGGCAGCGTAACTCTTCTCCCTGCATCACCATCCATCTCCAGCAACCGTCTCCACTCACAGCTCATGCCTCTGCCACCACTGTACTCCTCCAAGCTTCGCAGTTTGAAACCATTCGGGGGTCAGCTACACCACCGCGAATGGAGAGACGAGGACGACAACGGTCGTGACTGAAAAGACACTGCCTTGGCGACCGCGTCGCGGAACCCTCGCCCCAGCAAATTCAGAAATACGCCAGGGGCAACTCTGGTGGACTCAGAGCCACTTCCTTGGCAAGACTAGTAAGAGAAACGACTGAAAACTCAGATAAAACGGAGCTACAAAAAGTGCAACCGTCCCCTTCAAGCACAGTTGCAACACACAGGGAGTCGTATACATGTACATAATATTGTGGCCAGCTGTTTGTAGCCAGCTGTGTTTGATGGTACGGTACGGTACGGGACAGATACGGGAGCCAGCAAATGGCCAGCTGTGCGATACGGTACGGGACAGATACGGGATAGAGCCAGGCGTGACACAAACAAACAAACAAACAAACAAACACCAAATTAAAGCTGTGTGGACCCTGGCTCGCGCCAGACGTTACTGAAGTAACGTCTTCTGCATAGCTACGGGAATTAAAGCTGTGTGGACCCTGGCTAGCGCCAGACGTTACTGAAGTAACGTCTTCTGCATAGCATATGTGTGTTTGATCATCTTGTGCCACGCATAAACTCCAACCCGACTTATTAGTCCTCGGCCCTCTTGTACCAAATTAAAGCTGTGTGGACCCTGGCTAGCGCCAGACGTTACTGAAGTAACGTCTTCTGCATAGCATATGTGTGTTTGATCATCTTGTGCCACGCATAAACTCCAACCCGACTTATTAGTCCTCGGCCCTCTTGATCGATTACCCACTTTCCTTGAAGAACGATCGATAAAAAACAGGACCTTTTGCAAAAAAACGGCTGAAAAAAGGAAGAAAACGGGTGCTCAGAATGAGATTCAAGTACACAACCATGGTCCCGGCAGTTTATGAGGATGTCGCTCATAGATGCGCGATTTCGCGCAATGTGCACACTAATCGTATTGCAAATACGTTGCTATCAGTTGGAACAACACACATGATCACCTAGGCCACTTGGCATAGCGGAGGCTCCTGTCAAGCCCTCTGGTTTGAAACGAGAGAGCTTGGAAGCTCAGGGCCCTACACTATGCTTTTATGCTTTTTTGCCTAGCTCATCGTACATGTTATTAGAACTGATGGAAATATTTTTTTCCGTTGATTGGCCACATCATTGTATTGCAAAACGTTTCAATCAGTTTGAATATGAGTTAGGCAAAAGTATTTGAAGAATTTATTGCGGATTATTATTTTTCTCTAATTTCCTCCACTTTAGGTTTGTTCCTTCTTTTCTTTTTATCTCCTTATACTGTAAATCAACAAATTTTGGCCGATGAGAAACTTTGGCCGATCCTGAAACGAAACTTTTCGCCATCATTAAACTTTGGCCGATTGGAGTTTTCAAAAAAGAATCAATCGGTATTTTTTGCTCTCACATGCATCCATTGCTCAATAATGCATCATTTGCCTCTATGACAAACCTTGGCCTGAGATTTACTTTGGCCGGTTGGTACCAAGCGGCAAAATCAGCGAAATTAAATCGCCAGCGAAAATTAGTTGATTTTAATAAAATAATCGGATTTTGTGGCCTTTTTGTAGTAATACATTGACATGTTGAGCCAATCAGGTGAAATTATATTCCATACAATACAATACAATACAGCAAATACAAAAATAATGTCCTTACCTTGATAGGGTGCTTGTGCTTAACTGCTGCTGACGGCCGAATACATGGTCTTCATCAACTTGGGTCTCCTGTAATACGCATCCTGTCTATCCTGTCTACGTTTCCTGGGACCGGCGTTGATTCTGCTGATCAGGGGCGTTCTGGAGTCGACAGGATCTCTCTGCCGACGTTTCCTGGGACCGGCGCTGAATCGCCCATTCGCGGTTATTTTTGAGTCGACAGGATGTCTGTCCAGACGTTTCCTGGGACCGGAGCTGACTCTGCCGATCACGGGAATTCTGGAGTCAACGGGATCTGTCTTCCGACGTTTCCTGTGACCGGCGCTGAATCGCCCGTTCACGATTATTTTGGAGACGACGGGATCTCTCTTCCAAAGTATGGTTTTGCTGACGCATCCTATCACCTATTCGGCAACTAACATCCATTCTAATTTCATTTCCTCTACGTCTCCCTATTTCTTTCCAAATCTCTCTCTGCATCAGGGAGTCGTATACATATGACGACAAATATTGTGGCCAGCTGTTTGTGGCCAGCTAGCTGTGTTTGATGGTACGGTACGGTACGGGACAGGTACGGGAGCAAGCAAATATTGTGGCCAGCTGTTGTGTACAATCCTGTAGAGCCTTTGTAGTCACAGATACGGGACAGATACGGGATAGCTCCAGGCGCGACACAAACACACACACAAACAAACAAATACCAAATTAACGCTGTGTGGACCCTGGCTAGCGCCAGACGATACTGAAGTAACGTCTTCTGCATAGCTACGGGAATAAAATGCATGTATATAATATCAATCCGAGTTGTGTGTGTTGTTGGTTTCTGCATAACTTCTTACAG